ATTGCCACGGGTGAACTCTTGGACTTATCTGAGCAACAATTGGTCAGCTGTGACAAAAAGAACTCTGGTTGCAACGGTGGCAATCCTTTACCAGCCATCGACTGGATGCAACAAGGCGTGTGCACCGAAGAGTCTTACCCGTACACGTCCGGCAAGAATGGTCAAAGCGGTACCTGCCAAACCAGCTGCACCAAGAAGCAGCTAACGATTGGCAAAACTAAGAAAACGTCTGGTGAGAGTTCGCTTATGACAATTCTGGAAAGCCAGCCTGCCACCGTGGTAGTCGAAGCTGGCAACGCAGTGTGGCGCAACTACAAGAGTGGCATCGTATCTCAGTGTCCTGGGGCTCAATCCGACCATGCTGTGATTGCCGTCGGGTACGGTACTTCCACGGGCGATTACTTCAAGATCAAGAACTCGTGGGGGACGCAATGGGGTGACAACGGGTACATATACTTGAAGCGAGGGATGAGTGGCAAAGGAATGTGCAACGTCGCGGAATGGATTTGGTACCCTGAATTAAGCGGATCGTCTCCGACTCCCTCGTCTAGCCAGCCGCCGATCCCTTCGTCCACCCGCAAACCGTTCCCATCTACTTCGGAGTCCCCCAAGCCCTCAACTGACACCCCTATGACGTCAACGCCTTTGACCACCCGCCGCCCGTTTCCTACTTCGTTTGGACCCAAGCCCTCGACTGACACCCCTATGACGTCAACGCCTTTGACCACCCGCCGCCCGTTTCCTACTTCGTTTGGACCCAAGCCCTCGACTGATACCCCTATGACGACGACGCCTTCGACAACCCGCCGCCCGTTTCCTACTTCGTTTGGACCCAAGCCCTCAACCGACACCCCTGCAACATCGATGAGCACTCCTACTACCACCAAACGCCGCTATACCCGTCGCCCGAGGACGTCCCGACAACCAAAGACCACGGGGCCTTCTACCACAGACACCCCTTCCCCCACGACGGAACCTTCATCGACGTTTGCCCCAAAGCCTACAACCCAACCTTCTTCAACCTCTGCCCCAACTCCGTCGACGCCGTCTGGCAACGGTGTGAAGGACCAACTGATTGCCCAAACCAACAAAATCCGTGCGGCCCACGGTGTAGCCCCCCTTGCTTGGGACGATGCGCTGGCGTCCAAAATGCAGACTTGGGCCAGCAGTTGCCCTGGATTTAAGCACGGGGGTCCCTCTGGCTGGCAAAACTTGGCGACCAACACCGCGTGCGGGTCGAGCGGCAAGGACTGCATGAAGGTGGTGGGGGCGTCCTGGTTGTGGTACGACCAAGAAGAAACGTTCTGGAACTACGGCAGCAACTCGTGCAACGGGGACTGGGCCAAGTGCGGCCACTTCTCCAACATGATGAGCCCAGAAGTCAAGTCCATGGCGTGCGGGTGGTCCCAGTGTGCCAACGGCAACTACGTCTGGTGCAACTACAAC